CCAAAATGTGGTTTAAATTGATATCTGACAAAAGCATACGTGACTGGCGGAATTGATAATTAAACGACCGCGAAGAAATCCGTATTTGTTAACGTGATGGATTTCACCAGAAAGCGTTTAGTTCCACTAATTTCACCAATCAAGAATTCGACGGATCGGGAAAATCTAAACCGGCTATTTTGGGCAAGAAGCCGTGTTTTAATTTCATGTAACTTGACTGTAAAATGATGACCTGTTTTACAAAATAGTTCATTTAACATTCTGTTAATAATTGAAGTACAGTCTAACCTTTCTATAGCGGCCACCTTGAACAGAGGAAAGTGACCATTGTAGAGAGGTGGCCTTTAGAGGGAAGTAATGCGGTTAGGAAATTGCTCTTTCCAAAAACGCTTTTTCTGGAACGTGAATCCGTACCATCAGGAAAATAAATTTACAAAAGGAAACAAGAAAGATCAAGCTAGGTAGTGTAGACCATTGCGAACAATCTGTGAACTACAAATACGCAACATAATTAAGAATTTATCTATGAACTAGAAAACAAAAAATGATGCTCCAAGACAAACAACAACAAAAACGTGTGCAAAACGATAGGAGTAATATAAAGTGAGTCTTTAAGTCTGTTCTACGTTCACTTTTATTATTGCAGACTATATTGGTTTTCTTTTCGGTTGAATTAATCCATGAAATGCCGCCTGCTTGTTTGAGTAGTCACCTATTTCACTCCATCTTTCGTCCGCGAGTCGAGTCATAGTGTTTATGGCTCGTGTTACGCGCTTTACACAGGTTTTAGATGCCTAACCATGGTACTTAATCAGACTTAATCGGTGCCGTCGATGAAACTATAAGTAACTGTACAAATCTCACCAATGTGCCTTTCAGATGTCAAATAAAAACCAATAGGACATTTTTTATGGAGCATGTCTATTTCCATCAGTTGCTTTTAGTTCCTCAGTTATGTTAACCGAAAAATTTTTCCCCCGAATAGTTCATTTCCAAATGAACTTTGTGATGCAAGTATGACATCACAGTGTTTCTTTTCGATAAGATGGAATTTTACAACCTAATTGTTATCACATTATATTCACAGGTACTGCTGATACTGTTTTACCTGTATAAAGAAATTTACGATGTTTATGCTTCACCAGTAATTCTTGTTAAACTGTTGTATTCTTTACCTATTCCTGTCGTAGTTTAATTATATAAGTTCTTGAGACCTTTTTTTGTGTGTCAGTATCTAACCAGATCCAAAATGAATTTCCTTCCTTCTTTTAGATCCTTTGTTATTATGTTATTAGTAACGATGTGCCACGTAAATAATAAGAAGACTTTTAACGGTGTAGTCAGCATTCGTCACGGGCTGCTTTTTCGGTCAACTACTGTTGTCAGTTCACAATTACCACTCAAACTTTCT